CTGCTGGAAGGCCCAGGGACCATTAAACTCAAAAAAGGGGTGGGGGGAAAGCTAAGAGTTTTACATAAGCTAACGTTAGAATGTCTTTTCCTTCTTTTCCTCTGATTTCTTCTTTTAAAGGGTCAGGGGAAATGGTCATCAGCCTTTAAGCATTTAAGGCAGAGTTCTTCAAAGATGATGGGAATCACTCATCTGCTATGATCTGGCTTGGGAAATCATTGTAATTACTGTTATTAAGTGTTTAAGAATCTACAGGGAGATAGAGTATTGTACACCAGGCACCGAAAAGCTATAATCTGCCACTGCACCCTACCCCTGAAACCCTGGGGTCTTACAGATTGGAAATAGCTGCATTTTTTTGCTATCCAACAGGAATCGATAATGCAAGAAAGCCTGCTTCCCTTGGCCTGTTCGCACAGCCTGAATGTTGTCTTAGGAATGCTGAAATGTATTAGGTTTGTAACAAACATGGAAAAAATGATAACAGCAAAGACATGATCCCCTAAGTTTCACAAAGGTTGTTAGAAACTTCTCGTCAAATGTTCATTTGCAAATCATGAATTTCTTGAGAGCTTACAAAAACAAATACACGAGTGCACAGTTAAGAAGCCACCACACATATATAAAGAGCATTAAAAATTATGATGAAGCATTTCTAAAATTATAAGGCCATTACAGTGGAAATGTAATTGGAATTAGAAAAACTCAAAGTTTTCCCACCACTCTTCAGATACCTGTCTGAACCATTTCAGTCCTGAGAAATATACCTGGAAAGACCCACTAGCCTTTTGGCCAGAAGTTAGATCAAAATAAAAAAACTTAGTGTGCCTGTCTCAGTTATAGCCTAGTGCCTGGTACGTAATATGTGCTTAGAAAAATATCTTAGGATAGGTCAAAGAAGGAATGAAAAGAAAGGAAAAGGGGCAATCCAGAAACCTGGCTCATGCACACTTTAAGAAACAGAAAGTGACTTTTCAGAACAAAGACGTCTCTGGCCCATGTAAATTCTTCCACTTAGAGCTTCTGAGCAGCACCGATCCGCTTTCGGTCTCGGAAGGAGCGGCCACCTCTGTTTGCCAGGGTTCATCAGGGAGCATGGCTGGCTCTCCAAGGAAGGCCTTTCTGTTGCTCCCTACATGAGCTCAGTGCTTTCTTGCTTCAGACACGAGTCCACAGACACTGCTCCATCTGGGGAGAGCCCACCTCTCCCCACTCATCACTTGGTTAACCCCTACTCATTCCTCAGGGGACCTGCCTCCAGCCCCTTCTTGTTCTTTCTCATAAATCTTGCTCTTTACATTCACAGTATCTGTCAAAATTTTAATTGTATGTTTATCGGGTAATCATTTGTCTAATATCAGTATCCTGTCACAAAACTTTAAACTGCATGAAGGCAAGGACCATATCTGTTTCATACAGTAATTATTATCTAACAGCCTTACTATCATGCCTGGCACATTAAAGACACTCAATAAATATTTGTTTAAAGAATAACAAGGAAAACAGTTATCTTTTGAAGGAAGTTTTCTGCGTGCCGAGTACTCATAGGAAGTTGTTTACAATGCATTATATTCATTTAATACTCCAAAAGGTTATCATCATATCTTGTTCTGTTACTCCCCAAAGTGGCTGGTGATTATCCAAATGCATTCTCCGAGCACCTGACATGCCAGTACACTTGGGCAGGTTTCAATGAAGCAGTTCCACAGTTCCCATAAACATCTATACACCATCCCAGTACTTACCCTTCTGCCTAGAATCTGGTTGATAGCTGCACTTTCTTTCAGAGTACACTCAGCCACGACATTTGCTCTCATTTCTTTCATGTATAACATAAAAGCATTCAGAGGCTTCTTAATGTGAGGTCTTTTTGGCTCCTGCTCCTTTCTCTGTTCATGCTGAGGCTTCCTAAAAGGTGGATGTGGTGGTGTTGGGGGAGGAGGCAGATGAAATAAGGAAAATTTGGGAGGAGAGAAGCAGAGCATCTGTTTACATCTCAGTCAAACTCAGGCTGGGGACAACTCTCTAAGGCTCTCCACAAACCCCTCCCCCCACCTCCCACCAACACCCTTAATTCAGAACAGCAACTCTTCCACTCTAAGAGTGAGGAGCCTTTGGTTTGAGAAAATTCCCCTGGAGCTACCGAAGTGTTGAACACAAAATGGAAATGAGTGTGTGAAGCTGAGCTCCTTAGTCACCTCAGAAAAGCTGAACCTATAGTTGGAGTGGTCATTCCTCTTTCAGAACTGATGTCCTTAACTTTTGCGGGGGAAGGGGGAAGGGCGGAGGGGGTGGGGTGGGCGGTCAAGGACCACTCCGACAAGCTAATGAAACTTCACTCTCTTCCCCAAACGTGTGTTGGCTTTGCCAACATTGGCAGATGTTTTATGAACTATCACATGCTTCCTGCTGCCCCATCCTCTTGTCCCAGTATGAAAACTACACTGAAAAACTCAATTCCTAATCTCTTCAAGGAATCGAGCCGCTTTAACAGCCTGAGACCACTCTGGCCGACAGGCAATCTCGGGCTTGCTTTGCCCCCTTCTCTTGACTTCTGTGCTTTTGTAGCCTCGAAGCAGGGAAACTGCACCCTGGCCAGGCACTGAACTCTCCAAATCATTTCAGTTACAGCCAGGGGCTCCCCAACAATTGGAACCCCACGGAAATTTGGTGGCGGTAAATGGCTACACAGCTCAAGATTATCCAGTGCCTGTTCTCTGAAGATTACTCCATTTTGGTGAGGTTCCCTTGATCTTTTGAGGTCTGTGCTCCTTTCCAACCTCAGAATCAAAATCAGCTCCCAGTGAGAATCAAGCCGCTTAAAGTCTTCAGGGACAGAGCTTTCAAAGTAGAGCTACACTGATTTCCATAATAAAAGAGAGGGGGGAACATTCAACAATTGTGAAGAAGAAATTGTTTAAATCCTCTATATCTTCAGGCATTCACAGGTGAGACCAGATGCAAACTTACACGTGCATCAGGTCACTGTCAGTGTGGGGGTGTTCCTGTTTGACCTGAGGCGTTACAATAGCTGGATGAGGGATGCCAGTTGTGTGGGGACCAGGAGGACCAGGAATCATGTGATGGGAAAACCTAAAAGAAGGAAAGAGAAGAAAAATACATACTACTGGCTGTTGTAGCAAAAGCTAGATGGAATTTTGAAACAATCCACTACAATCCACAAACTGCTATTGGCAGTTATACACAGCAGTATTAACTATAAATTAGAGTGGGATGATAATTAATTTCTTTCCTTTTTGTATTCAGGCAGAAAATACTTATAATAACTCTCTGTATAACAGAGTTTTTTTCCAAACTAATAGTAAAATCTGACATTTTTCCTGGGATAGCTCTAGGCCATAGGATTAAAAAAAATATTGACTCACTTTTCTTGCAAAGCAGTTTTCAAAGAATTTCAGTAAGAGTAATTATTGGAAATATAACACCTTATTACAATTTTGCTTTTAAATTATCTTTAAATAAAAGCTAAAGTCATCACATTTAAAAACCTCCACCTACATTCCCAAATAAACTATCACATTAAGAATCTTATATTGTTGGCTTCTTTACTAATGTTGGGAAAGAATAATTAAGAAAATTAAGGGACAGGAAGATTTTTTTCAGTCTCCAATTTAATAAGGTCACTATTAACATTATCTAAAGTAATTTTCTATGCAGAAAGGATGTCTAAGAGATCTAGCCTTTTGGAGGACTCATAAAATTAAGAGAAGGGTTTAATCAAAGGGAAGAATACAATTCTGCATCAAGGTAAAAACTACATACACTAAATAAAGGCTTTTTCCCAAGTATGCTTATAGACCATAAAAAAAAAAAATCTCAAGACATCCACCACCATCCAACACAAAAAGAGGGAAACTTCCATGCAAAAATAAGTTAATAAGTATATAAGTAAGTAAGTAAATAAATAAATAAATAAATAGAACAGGGATAGTACTTTCAAGAAGCATTTTGGATCATTTGGGTATGCTTTAGAAATCTTTGCTTTTCAAACTGTTTTAAAGTAAACATTCAATTCAGCAAGAATAACATTCTCAGGTTTATCACAGCCTGTCCAATTCCTTCATCTGGGAAGGAAAGAAGAAACTGCTTGAATATGTTATATTTCAGAAACAAATTTTTAAAAATTAAGGCAGCATAGTAAAAATACAAATATTTGGTCAAATAACAATGCTTTGCTATTATTTGCTATTATTTTGCAAATGCAAAAAGACATGATGCCTGTGAGAAAATCCTGTCATTGGACAGTTCTTACCATGTTAAAAAGTGTAAAAATATATTCTGGGGGAAGGATATTAATTTCATCCCCTCCCAATTCAGTAGATTTACAATTTGCTGAACAAATAATGTTGTTTTAAAAAGCTGAAATTCACCACAGAAACTGCAAAGTTTCATACTTATGTAAAAAGTAAAGATTTACAACCAGTTACTAACCCAAAAGTTTGACTTCCAGCACAGTAATGCTAGCTCCCTTGAAAAAGCAACATCAAACACACAGATGATACATCACAAATGTGTGTGTACATCAAGCACAGGGCACAGAAGCCGTCCTTTCCAGAAGCAAAGCATTACACAGAGCAGTGTGGCGGCAGACCTTACAGAGCTTTGCTGGCACTACTATGTCGCCACAGGGCCTGATTCACACACTAGGACACACACCCCAAAAGGCCGGAGAGCCTGTAAGCACCGTTTTTTTCTTTTCTGACAGCCTTGGTCCAGGAAGGCTCTAGACTACCTGGGCATTTTCAAACACTGTCACATTTAACTCATACAACTTTCCTCAAAGAAAGCGAATCATAGAACTTAGACCAAACCAGTCTTTATCCCTCACCCCTGACTCCGACCCCAGCATATTTTGAATAAAACAAGCTCATGTGAGGTCCACTTTCAGGACATTTCATATTCTGCAGTTGGGTGGCAAGGAAGTCTTCTGGATGCACAGTTTCCCAGTGTATCCGAGTCCGTCTCCCCGGTGGGTGCGGCTGGTGCTCGCTGTGGGGTGCAGAGTATATAGCTCCTACCCAGGGATCTCTAGGACACCTAGTGTGAGAGCCAGGCACACTGCACAGACAGACACGTGGCTGAGCTATGCACCCTCCTAGCCGACTGAGAGGCAAGCAGAGGCGCACGAGATGCAAGCGCAGAAAGAGCAACTTGTCCTGGGGTGCCCAGTTTCCACCGCTACCTACCTGGACATGGAAGTGTCGACTGACAGTGAGGATGGGTAGGGTTGCCTGAATCCTCCCGTGATGGGATATACAGGCTGACCTTGCCTGAGGTCACAGAAGAAAGGAACCCATCAATGACAAAACATGAGTAACCAACCAGCAGCAAGAGTTTGATGAGGGGCGAAGAGGGAGGTATTCAAATAGGATTTTGTGGGATATTACAGACCACAGCATTTCTTCAGTTATCCAACTGCTTTCCTTCCTCACCCACCACCCAATCAAAGCATCTTCCGCTTTGAGAAAATCTCCCAGCCTCGACTTTGTAACAGAACCCTGAAAATGGTGAAATATTCCTTTCAGAGAAGGAGCGTAGTAGATTCTTTATCAGAACCAGAGAATTTCAGGAAAAGGAAGAGGAAACGAAACTTTATATAAAAATGAACAAATATTTTAAAAACATTGCCCGGCCCCCCATACCCAGGTGAGAGTCAAGAAGTAAGAGACCAGGTCATTGGGATTGTTTTCTCGCTACTCTGAGAAGTCCATCGCTCCCTCCGTTTTCCCACATCCCACGTTTTTCATTTGCACAGGCTTTATTTCCAGCTGCCACTGATGTAACTCGGCACAGGATTATTGCCCCTACGCATCTTAAGTTCTGAGAGAATGATGATGTAGGTTCGAAGATGTACATATAATCGATTAAATTCAAACAGTTATTGACCGAGAGATTTAAAACTAAAGAGAGAGAGAGCCAGTGAGCTGGAAGGTGCTTGGCAGGACGCCCCTCCTAGTTGAAGAAGAGCTCAAGGAAGGACTCCAAGGTTGGCAGACTGGGGCAATGTGACATGGCTGCTGTTGGAACAGAGAGCCAGATAAAGACAGGAGAGAGGACATCTGTTCAAGTCGAAGCCCTGCTTCCTTGGCGTGAGCAGTGGGGAGGGGAGGAATGGAGAAGGGATGGGAGTGGGAGCGAGGAAAGCTGTGTGCTAATGACAAAATGAAAAAAACAGGCTGCCCTGCATACAGTTATTCTTTCTTCCTCAAACACATTTCCTCCTTTCCTCTACCGTTACAATTTAGAAAACTTCGAAGGCAGCTGTAAGAATTTTTTTTTTTTTTTTTAGAAATAAACGACAAAGAACATTTGGATTCTGAAAAATAAATAAATAAAAGCCCGAACATCAGTTTTCTAGTTCTCTGAACTCAAACTGGAGTTGATTTTATTAAAATTCAAAAGACGTTTTTGTATTTTTTAATTTCTCTCTAGTTATTTGTCATTTACCTCACTTGCCCATTTATAAGCAATGGTAGTATGTAGATATTCAATGTGTCTAAGTTTGTTTCAAAAACATAAGTTTTCATAAAAATCTAGAAAAGAAAAACCACACTGAGCACTTTGTACAGGCATAGCAAATGCCCAAAGCCACAAATTGAATCCATAAAACTATAAGCTTCAAAGCAAATGCTACACAGTCATTTTCTACACATATTAGCAATCGGATTCAATCCATTTCAAAGTCTGTGTTTTTTAAAATCTTTCAAATTGAAATGAAATAAAGTTAGAACCTTGCTTGTTGATGTGAAATTTCCTCAACTCCACAAGAGTTATCATTCATAAAGCTAATTTCCATGGATGGAAAAGTAGAACATGTGTTCAAATGCCTGGCTGAAGTTTATAGGAAGGGAAGGTTCTTACCAGCCAAGAGGAGGGGTAATCTGTCCAACACCACCTGGGGACAGTGGGTAAAAGGTGGGGATCTCGGGAGCCGGAGGGTGTCTGGACATGCCTAGTGAAAAAAAAACCAGAGAGAGGTAGAGTACTCAGATTCATAGGACATTTGACTCTTAGAGCAACAGAAAGGCAATAAAATGCTTCATGCCATTACTTCTTAAGGTCTAGAATGAAAAACATTTATTTATCAGCTCTATTTAACAAGTCAGTTTGTTGTCTTTTCTCAAGGTTTCAATTTGAGAAAACAGGTCTTAAAATAGTACATCATGAGAAACTCCTGAAAGAGTAAAACAGTCATAAAATAAGACTTTTACATTATTTAGTTTGCCCGCTTTATTTCATTTCGGTTAAGAAAATGGTAGGCAATTGTTTTTGTGTAGAATGGAAAATGAGAGCCCTTCATAAGTAAATGGCTTGCCATGGTGCTCAAGGATTAGGTAAATTGCCACTTTCATATTTATTGGCTCCCTTATGGACACATAGATTTGGGAAATGTGATACCTCAGAGGATCAACGATTAATTAGGAATCATCTTCAGCCCCATAATGGTCACACTTGATATGATTCATTTGGTCTCTGCCACTTCAGCTCCAACTAAGCCCTTCATCAAGTTGAGTCCTCTGGGCTTCAAGGTCAAGCTGTTCTGGATTAGCTGTATTCCACAGAAAATGAGAGTGCCACCAAATTGCTCCTTGAGCTCATACTCCCTGGAGTACACTGTCCTATAACTGTAAAAACCACCTAAAAATTATACCTAATCCTAGACCCAAAAGGCATCTCCATCTCTTTGTTTATATCTTACCTTGGGTACAGAAAAGAAGGGGTAAGACACATGCATAAAAATGCAAAATATAAAAATAGTATATTTGGTGGAAAGTGATTGTGAACAGAAAAAAAAGGCACAACGGTTTCTTTACACAGCTAAACCAGCTTTGAAAGACCATTTCCACATATAAACACACCAGGCTGAACACCTAGAAGATGCATTCAGTGGTTGTAAATACACTGGCCAGTGTGTGGAACTGGGTGAGCACATGGAAGATCTCTTCACACTAGTCCATGTTCGGAGTATGCTCAGAACATCACATCAGTGATTCTGTGTAGGAGCGACTCAGCAGAACAAAAAAATACAAACTAGCTGGATTTGTTTTTACTACCCGAAGGAGGAAGGAGGGAACTAACATTTACTTAGCACCTGCTACATGCCAGTTCCTATGCTGGGCATTTGACTGTTTCTATTAAAATTCTATTCATATTTCAAATACCCATCTCCCACAGAATATTCTCTAACTTTTACAGCTCTGAGAAATCTCTTTCTTCTTTGAATCTACAACATTTTATTTGTACTTTTAACATGTTACTTAAGATGTTCTTCATTTTGTTTTATAGTTAGTTTTCGCAGATGATTTCCTGCATGAGTTTAAATACTGCTTGGGAAAAAGAGGCCATGTTTTACCAAGCTATGTATTAAACCATGTTGTTTCAGAGAAGGTCCTCGATACATACTTTTGAATGACTGAACAAATGAACAAGTGAAATAAACAGTATTTAAACAAACCCATTCCCCATGCTGAGTTAAAATTATCACGCATTTTGCAGGTACATACAAAGTACACGATGTGGCTTAGGTCATCATGTTAATGGAAAAAAATAGATCTGTGTTTTCTAAACAGCTTACTGTTTTAAGATCCTGTTTCCACAGATTCCTAGAAGTGTGTGACTTTCCATCAGTTGCTGTCTACTGAAGACACACTTCACATCATTCATTTAACTGATGCTTACGGAACACTTAGTATGTGCTGGAGGCTATATACAGCACAGCCTTAGAGATTTTTAAGCTTTTATAAGTAACTTCTTAGGAAGTTATTTGTTTTTATTTTGTAAAATCAGAATAAAAATGGAAAAGAGGTTGTTGTGAGGAATAAATGCATTTATATATGTTATGCAGAAAGGGCCTGGTATTTAGTTTTGATTTTTCAGACCTATAATGCTGTGTGTTTTTCTGTAAATGATACAGAAGCAGACCTTGGTAACAATGTAGAGAAGCAAATAAGATTCATGTTATAGTTTTATACTTTATTATTTATATCTAAGTTGGTACTTGTAAATAATAAAAAAAACATAGATAAAACCCAAAAGGGATATAACTGAAACCAAAAGAAATCACTAAAGGCCCCAAAAGATAACATTTGAAGTAAAAATCTCTTACTTTGTCCTTTTTCTAATTTTTCTTTTAACACTGCCATCAACACCTCGTACATGCTGAAATAAATGAATGACCGCACGGGGCACCGAGGATTGAATTTTTAGTATATTTGTACAACATACTGGTTTATATTGTGTATCCTAGATTTTCAGAGCTGTCATTTTGAAAATAATCTATACTTTTTTTTTTAATCTTGAAAAATAAAAGAAGCAACAACAAATTCTTGAGAGTTTATAAAAAAACTGTTATCAAATAAATTATTCTTGTCTCCTACAAATTTATTTTGATCCACCCAGTGACATGGAGCAAAGGCACCTATCAGGTCACTCAGACTGATGAGACATGGCTCCTCCTTTCCTGAAAAAGGCAGGGCTCTCACCTTGTTTGGAGTTGACATCTGATGGGATGTGTGACGGGTGTGATCCTGGAGAAAAGTGCTCGTCGCTGTAAGTGATGAGGGGGGTGAGAGGATGGACAGCATGGGATGGCTGCACCACGGGCACTTTATTTGACTGCAAAGTAACCACAAGGTCAACCGTTAATATAGATGCCCAGCTCCTGTCTCTTCTTCCAAAGAAAAAGACACACGATAACAGTAAGTAGACACTAGCATAACCCAAGAATCATCTCCAGATCCGGACAACTGAAATCATACTCATTTAGATCTTCAGAATGTGTCCATGTTAAATACTCAAGTATGTGAAAATCCCATCAGGAGACTATCGGTTATTTAACCACACCCCTTTGGAGATTTCGGTTGATTACTAGTATTCTATGACATCGATCTGCACGTATATATTTTTACATGTATATATACATATACACACACACACATACATATACATATATATATTTTTACATATATGTACATATATTCCCTTTAAAATTATCTCCTCAGGTTGAGTTCAACAAAGAGTTGTGTGTACAAAAGTTATGAATGTTTGTTAAACTCTTTATTCATTATATATGTCTGGCAATAAAAAGGCACTCAACAAAAAAATTTTTCACTGAACAAATAAATTAATAAGTATTGCCAATTTGAAAGACAAATTTTTAAACAACCCAACGAATATAAATTTGGCACACTTGGACGTTCCCTTAGTTTACAGAATTCATGATTCTATAGTTGTACATCTTTAAGAACTATGTTATACCATTTTTTCATGTTTTATAGCTTTGTCAATCAAACACGACAATCGCTTTAGCCCTATTCAGTTCATCTTTACGTTCTCCAGTTTCCATAAGAATTAACTGAAAAAGGGAAATTTCCAATCTTGAGTTTACTGAATAATATGAAACAGTTTGTAAGAACAGTTAAAGTTTGTATTTTATGTATTCTAACATATTTTGCCTTATATTTGTTTCAAGATAAATTTATTTAAATTGGAAGTCTAAAACTATATAACAATACCACTTTTTAAAGATACAAGTTATTTATTTGGACTTCATCAATTTGAAATCTGGGATCCTTTTGTTTTGTTAAAGCCGAATTTCTCCCCGCCCCCACCCTAAAGTGCTTATTAAGCAAATCAATAATGTAAACAAGACTCAGGCAGTTTAACCTAATTAGGGAGATAGGTTTTTACAGAAACATCACATTTCCCCCCTCCCCCAAAAGAAGGTAAACTCAGCACAATGATATACATGCAAAATATGTTTCTGATTTTAAACACACCTAAGTAAGTAAAGTAGTATTAGGAGGATCTCTATTTACAAACAGTTTAGTAATAAGTTACTTGTGAATTTAAGAGGAAAAGGATACAATGAATTTTGAATATTCTCTAATTCACTATTTCAGACATGCCTTCACCATAATTAGTTTGAATTAATGAGATTTTTTACTGTACTATAGACTAAGATGCATGTGAAATGTTTCTCCAGAAGCAAATATCTGTATTTAAAAACTTAAGAAAATGCCTGAAAAATGTACAGGATAAAGTGCTTATAAAGTCGACCCATATCTGAATGGCTGTGGGCCCAGTAACACACTTGTGTATGGTGACTGCACCTATGACATACGCTAATTTTGTATTTGATGTTTTTTACAAATTAGGTATAAAAAGTATGTGGCTCCAACAAGAAGGTCTACCCTCGGGAAAATTAAGAGCAATTATCCTAGTACCACTTAATTCTCTTTACAGCCAATAATAGTAATTCTCTATACCCTATCATTACAACCTTCACCCAAAAGAAACTTATAATTTAAAAGGGGGGGGGGAATCACACTTTTTTAGACAATGACATAATTTCCATACTAGATTTCTCCTATTTTATAATTATCAGCTCCTCTCTAATGGTAGAACTTGCGTAGCTCGTATAGCCCCTGGCATTTATTAAATAGAGCACCATTATCAAAGCCACACAGTCTTTTCTCTATATACCTCAGCACAGACATCTATGCATATGAATGTGTACAAGGCTAAAAAAAAATGTTTCAATGCTTTTCAAGTGTTAATGATGCAGTCTGCCAAATACACAGATGAGCTTCTTAAATACAGGAATTTAGAATGCTAGAGGAGATAGCGAGTGGGTACAGGGATAGGAGGATATTGTTCTAACCACTTTTTAAAACGGAAACAAAAATCTCAAAACCCAAATGCTAAAGTGAATTCAACTATACTTTAGAATAACTGCTTTGAGTGTCATTTTTCAAAAGTCTCATAAGAAACATAATTGCCAATCTACAGAGATATTTTCTTAGGGTAGTTATAAAGAGTAAGCATTGCAGAAATCCTCTGGAAATACATATTTTTTGCATGCCTTTCTTATTTCCAGAGCACCACCTTAAGGAACTTGCATTAGCAGGCAGTATCTTCCTAATGTCTGACCTATCCCTCCAGTCATATAGCTCAGAATCTGGTGCCATGAATTTTTGCTAAATTATGCTATCCTTGCTCTCCTCCTAATTTTACGGTTTTCAACACAGATTTGCTTTCCTGTGGGAAGGAGATAAGAAGCCAAGGATTTTAATTTAAGCTCTGGCCTTGTCTTATATTTTGCAAGATAGACAGTGAAAGCAGTACTAGTAGTGTGCTAAAGCCAACAAGGATTATGTCCATTTCTGTGGCCAAATAATAAAAGCAATATGAAATCTCAATAATATGTGTGAGCATAATTCTAAGGTTTATATTTGCTTCCCGCCAGCCACCTCCACTATGCATACAACCTACACTATACATCGCCATCATTACGGCCAAGTAAGTGTCCTGGGCCCTAAACTTGGGCTTCTCCTGAAAGCAGGAGGCGCTGTCCTTTGACACTATACGCATACACTAGGAGAAAACCCAGGCACTGCCACTCAGAGGTAAGTTTCAAGGCGGACAATATAACCATTCTTAATTCTAGTCCTCAGATCTCCAGATCTCCAAATAACGTGTTATATTGTAGGGTGAGGCGAAGAGGGTGGGGGAGAAGGAATAACCAAGTGACAAGTTAGTCTCTACAAAATTCATCTAACTACATTATAATGCACGCTTACACATGTGTACGTGGGCCCATGTGTATATTTATTAAGCACCAAAAATGCACTAAGCACTATTCTAGTATCGATGGCCAACACTGACAAAGTCCCTATTTTCATGCTGCTTCTTTTCTAGAAGTCTGGAAGTGGGGGTGGGGGTACTGGAGATAAAGAATATGTAAACAACAATAACAAAAATTAAGTAAAGTCTGAGACCAGGACATCAAGTACTATGACTTGAAAAAGGAAACTGATGACAGGAGAGACTGTTAAAGCTGTAAGAAACCAAAAGCTCGTTTAGTCCAAGATCTTTATTCTCTGAGAGGAAACAGAGGTCACCAGGGAACGGGTGATCAAGCCAGGACTATTGTCAGCACTCGGAATAATGCAGGGCTGCTCGCTACACACCTCTAGTGATACAGGGTCACTGTGAATACAATGTGAGTGGAACCCCTGAGTCACTCGACAAGGTAGGATCAAGCAGCACAGAAATTCCACCTCTGTGCACCTAGAACCTCACTTAACAGAACCCAAGTCTCCTGACTCCCAGTCTGGTGCTTGTTCTACTACACACTTCCCTGTAAGGGAGAAGGAAGGGTAAATATCATTTTGATTTTTTTTTCATTCATAGGTACAGTCAGATAAGTTTTGGCTTCCAGTGGAAAAGCACAGGAATTCCCAATGTGTGTCCTTTGTTTCATTTTCCCAGGGTTAGAGCATGCACAACTACTCTGCCTTTATGAGATAACCATCCCCAAAACTCTACTGCTGCTCAAACAGGTGCAGAAACTCGTCTAAGCTCACATGGCGGTTTAAGTGGCTAAGCCAGGCCACGGACCCTGATTTTTTTTATTCCAACTACATTATACATTCTTTAATTTCAGGCAGGTGATTGGTCAGGTGTGCAAAGGAAAAATAACAAAGATGGAATGAGTGGGAGCTGAAGAAGGGGTAGAAAACACCAAGGGTGCACTCTAGAAGACAGCTCTCCCACCTGCACTCAGCACCCACACATGGCTATTCAGCAGGGAGTTCGCAATCCCTTCCCAAACTTGGGAAACCACCATCAGACCATCCTACTCACAAAGCACGCCATTATTACAGCAACTGACACTTGCCAAGTGCTTCCTGTGTGCTAAACACTTTAGAGTACTTTTGAGGCAGGTACTGTTATTACTCTCCTTTTACACGTGAGGAAACTGAGGTATGGAGAAGAAGTCAAGCAACTTTCCCAAGGGCATAGAGCAAGTGGCGAAGCCGGGATTCAAATGCAGGAAGTCTGACTCTAGAGGCCACATGTGTAACCAGTACACCATGCCGTCTCCCTGAAGAGCCAAGTTCATAAAATCTTGGACATGGAGTTGACCATCTGGACCACACCTGACAGGATGTACATCCATGAAATGACTATGTGGTCTCTGTCCCAGGCACAAGAATCACCTCAGACAAAGAGGCGCCTCAGGAGAAGCGGTCAGACCTGCGGAGACTCAACTGCTACCTTTCTCTCCAGCACTGACAGCATTCCAGGAGGCTAGCGTGGCCGCCACCCAGGCTGCTCCCTGCAGGTAAGGACCTCTTTGGCATCAGAGCCAAAAAAAACCCACACCTCCTGTAGACACGAAGTGGGTGCCACTTAGGGATCCTGAGAGCCACCCCCAGAGCAGCGTTCCCAGAAATGACCCGCTCACCGCTGGCAGTAACTCCAGCTGTCGTGAAAGTTGTCAGCCTCCAAGGATGTGGTTCTGGGAATGACTAAAAAGTGGACCTGCTCCCTCCTGGCCAAGGCGTGGGCCTGCTGGTAAGTGGAGTAATTGGCGGAGAAACCTGCTGGGCTGGGAGCTAGTCCCCATTTTGCACACCTCCAGACTTCAACTAAACCCACAGCGCAGGATCTGGCTGTGCATAAAGGTCTCGCGTTCCATTTCCATTGGCTGAATGTTTTATCAATAGTCCTCTTGGTCATAACTGAATCCGGGGGAATTTAACACTCCAGCTTACTAAATGAGGAATTTCATCTGGCCTCAATGTTATGCTGGCATTTTACTTTTTATT